CGACTTGTTGACTTTCCGGGCTGGGAATCTTTCGCTCAGATTTCCTACAGTATTTGCCGTGGCCTCGTGCAGGACAATGTTTGCCGAGCAAGAAGAAGTGGTCATGAGGATGGTCAGGGAGAAACGATGTTACTTAAAGGAGAGATTGGAAGCTCAGCGACGTTTCTTCTGGGAGCAAGAACTCGCTTCGGGAGAGTTATAACGTTTCAACAATCGTTTCATTTACTGAACACTTCATGTAGGCTCGATTACCAGCCGCTGTTCGGGAAAGGAGCGCGCGCTCCTCCCCCGAACTCGAGCCTACACTTAATGGGGCTGACTACGTTGTCTTCGGGTTATTCAAAATTCTTCTTGGAAAGATGTTAAATGAAATTTAAGGTTGATTCAGTCAAATTGCGACATAAAATGGGTGTTCCGAGCTCGTATTCGGGATATTTGAGCTTGAAAACTATCATCTTGACAAATTTTCACCAAAAAAAGCTCGCGGAAAGCTTGCGTTGTGTAACATTCGAGTGGTTTCCAGTGCTGAAGTCGTAAACATCGGTGTTTTTCAATTGGGTAACTCAGCAGTATTCGTGCAGGCGCGAGCGCGCTTATTTTTGTTCCACAGCAGCATAACGAAGCCAGGCCCACGGACGCGTGTCAATTATTGATCTTTTACGGAGTCATTGAAGTCGTCGATACTCATCAGAGTGCACGATGATAAGATCATTTACAATATTACAATATTATTTTATGAGTGCGATGATCATGATTTGATTAACATTAACCTACACTCTTATCAAAGTAAATAAGATCGTATTTCTAATGGAATGGCGAACTAACGAAGTAATGATGACGGCGCCGTAGCACATTTGTAACTACGGTTTCGGTATTTTTGGTAAATTTCCATGCGGTATTGCTGTTTTTTACGTTTTCTTCTACGCGGTTTCAGTTGCGGTTTTCGGACCCCCTTTACGCCCCCCTCCATGAGCCGAACCAAATACATTGTATTAAGCACATGAAAAGTTCGATGTTTGAATCAGTTAAGAACGACTATTTAAATTTGGAACGGCCCAGCCGTTCTTCCCGCCTAGCTCAGCCGGGAATTTCGGCTTTGGGACGGCTTTGAATCAGACGTCGAACTTTTCATGAGCCGAACCTGATGCATAAATTATTATAACGTATATTTTCCAAGCAGTTTTCACTTTGCTTGAAAATCGCTGACATTTCGATGTGATTTAGTTTAAACTAAATAAAGTTCGGCGAGTTAAGTTCGACATC